CGCTTAATCGATTTCTCTTTTCATCCTGATCATTTATGTATACATTTGTCTATATCTATCTCGATTCGTTTTGCCTGTTACAAACAACCGTTATGTGAACAAAGTTATAATACCCTTGTGCACAAGTGCGCTCGGGTATAATAATAAACAATCAGCATTACCTTCGTTTAACCGTACATGTATCACCTTCGAGCTGGTATCTCGTAGATTGTGCAAAGAAAGAAACAAACAAACACATTGGGAGAGAGGTAGAGGGCGGGAGCATTATAGACGCTCTCAATTCACGATTTGCGTAAGCCGACAAGTGCAGTTCATGACACGGCAACACTTCGCTAAATTGTTTCATATTTGCACTCAGTATAGCCAGACATTTTTTGTAAAAAAAAACTGGCAAGTTAAGCATAAATTATCAAAAAATCGGGAAAAGCAAAAAAAAAAAAATAAAATTATCTCTTTTGAAGATTTTAATTTAAAAAATTTATATCGCAAAACATCTATTAAGTACTATAGAAAATACAATATACAAACAAAAAATGGATCCTAAATAAGTTCCATTTAACTAGATTTGGATGTATTTATTTATGTTCATGCAAACATATCCACTGCTTAAATTTCCCAGTAGAAGAAGTAGGTAATCAATAGAAATATATTTGGGACATTCTTTCTGAATCGGAGAGTCCATGCTCCCCAAAAACCATTTGGCCCAAAACACCCGTGCGACAGTGCAATCGAAAGCTTATTTTATCTTGTTTTGAATCCCGTGTGACAAAATGTGTGTTTAATCAAAATGGCGAAATAATATGAAATTTCAAAAATGTAAAAATATCATCGTGTTCTTCAAAAAATTTTGCCTCAAGAGTGTTTCAAGTACAATGTTCTTTAGACACATAGTTTCTGTGAAAATGACGGTATTTTTTATAGAAACCTAACGAAAAAAAATTTTGCACACACAGAGAAAGTTGGCAAAGGAGCTTTTTATTATGAGACTTTCGTGCCAGAATGAACAAAATCTTTCAATTTATCTTGCATACTGTCTTTCGATTGTCTTCCAAAAGACTTGCAACGATCTTAGCCCGAATTGCACTGTTAGTTTTCATTTGAATCAATATTATGACACTATTTCGTTTTTTTTTTAAGTAATAACGCTTAAAGTGGCGGTTTACAACTTGTTAATTATTATTTTTTTTTTTAATTAATCAGAGACATCAGTTTCCACATTTACTGTTGAAAACGACTTATAAAATCTTCAAGAGCTGCCAGAAGTCTTCATAGTGTAGATTTTTAAGGAAGTTTTTATTTTAAGATTGTGACTTCTGGCAACACTGCTTGCACTTTGCATGAGTTAATACAGCACCTTGTTTGTGTCAGGGTTTGTGGGCTGGATTTTCTTTTCTTTTTTAGTCTAGTTTACGCCACTCGCTTTTCACCTGCCAACACATGACTAAGCATTGCTGCCAGAAAGGGGCTAAGCCCCACTGCGCATACTTACACAATCTTTAATTTTTTTTTAGCTGCTAGAGTTGACGAAATTTGGGCGTTGCTGACTCGCTAGTTGTCTAGCTGTCACTTTGCATGACATGTAATAATTTTTGGCTGAGCCCATACTTCCTTTGCGTTTTTTTTTTAATAAAGCAAAATGTTGCGATTATTTTCAATCTCTCTAAAATCTTTCCCACGCTTTTTTCATGAATTCCATTTAGCTAAAACAAATTCTTCACATGCTTGTGGTCAGTTGGCTGCTTACGCGTTCTTGCCTTTTCCGTTTTCTTTATTTTCCCGCACACCCCTCACATATATATTTGTTTTTTTTTTGCTCATTAAGTGGTTTAACTTGTTTGGCAAATTTCGCTATTCTAATCGCCAAGGTTGCTGAATTGTGACGTTTGCATGCATTTTGTACATTCATATTTACAAACATAAATCAGAATTTTCTGGTTTTATTTTGTATGTTTGCGTTTGCACATTATTTACCAATCGATATCGCTTATTTCACGTGAAGGGCGGGCTCATATCAATTTCGGCAAATGTATGTAATTTGTAATTCTTCGATTTGCTTATATTTAAGTGTATATTATGTATGTGCAGTGTGAATAAATGTTTGCATATGTATTAATGCACTAATATCAGTCTTCCATCTTATTAAAAATATTGAATAGCACTTGATTATTGAGTGCAATTAATTTTTTTTTAATATTTTTTAAGTCTAAGCACGTCCAGCTGTGGGGCACCTTTCCGGTTTCTGATATAAAATGAGCCGTTTATATTTAAAGTAACATAAGTGATTTCATGCAGTTTGACTTCAGTAATCATTTGCTTGTATCTGAATGCGTCTGTTATTCGTTCAACTTCATCAGTCAAAGGTTAAAAGTTGTGTCATTAGTTTATGATGGTAGAACAATTTACAGCTGCGTTCAGTTAGGAGTAACTAACCATTTAAGCACAAGAGGTGGGTATGAGACTTATGCCACTTTCAAGATTAACAGCACATACGAATATGTATGAAAAATATTGTATTACAATCGCATTTTTCGGTACATACTAAAAAATCATCAAAATTCATGCATTTAATTAACAACGACGGATCTCAAAACTTGCTAAGTAGTAGATTTTTAATACGGTAGACAAACGGGCTCGATTATTTGCATAACCAGCCTTAATTTGCTTTAACTCATGCATTTTCCTCTTTAAAATGAGCATAAGCAGCCGAACAAATGCACGAAATTTTTGGGAATTAACTCGGATCCGGGGAATTTCGATGACAACACTGGTAAAAACGGCCAGTTGTTGTCTTTTGCACAAGTAAGCAAACGAAGCAATCGAGTTTCGCGTACGCGGTAGCCGAGTGGTGAGAGTTGCGAGCTACAAGCCTGTAGCTGCCAGGTTCGATACTCGGTTGGAGCGATTGCGAAACATTTTTTGTTTTTATTTATTTTATATTTTTTTATTTTTTATTTATATATTTAATTTTACTTTATTTTATTTTCATTTGCTTTATTTTATATCACATTTCTTATTTTACTATTAGTTAATTTTAATTTTTAGAAATGAATTTTGTTAAAAATTCAACGACAACTATCTGAAAGTAACGTAAAAAAAATATAGAAGTTATAAAAAAAGAATGAAAAAGAAATAAAAAAAGTATACTGGCCGTGGGACTCGAACCCACGACCTTACGGCTGGTTTATTCGCATTACTGCCGTCTGTAAGGGTAAAATTTTAATTTGCATTTATGCTTATTAATTCAAATTAATTTTCTCCATCTGTCTACCATATAAGTCTATATTCAGAGGATTTTAGTTGAACTTTGGGGCTTGATACTCAAAACGGACGTTATAAGCCACGATAAATTTTGCCGAATTCACAGTTTAAATGTAAACTACTGTTTTTTTTCAGAATTTCCGATTTGAACGAATAAACTAAATTTTCTCTTTTGGTTTTTTTGCAAGTAAATTTTCAAGGTAAAAGGAGACGTTGAAGGAGCCCTTTAAAATGATATCCGACCTTTTTTTGTTTTTATCACAAAATTCTCTGAATTAACATTGTGTAGGCTTTTCCCCCTTTAAGTGGGACAAAAGATTTTATTGCGAGTGATGGAATATTATTTTTCTATCTGTTGCAAATCCTATAAATTTATCTTTGTTGCATCACAAAAAAATAAAATTTTCCAGTCACTAAGGGCTGGTTTCTCCATCTCAACTTAACTTAGTTAAGCCAATTTTCTTGACTTAGTCATGAATAAGCTGTGTAAAACGTAGGCTAACTTTTGACCTAAGTCCAAAAAGTGGCTAAACTAAGTTAAGTTGAGTTGGAGAAACCAGCCCTAAGAGTACAGAGGCGGTATTTCTTTGCGAACTCTAATCGATATCTTCTATAATCTCCGGAAAGCAACGGCTTCTTCCTGAAATTCCCTCCGAGGGGCTTCACTTCACTAAGTCGTCCTATGACGATGTCGACAGCTCATGTGCTTCATAATTTTTTTTTAAATCGCAGATGAACTTTACTAGCGTCTTACGCGGGTAATTCAACAACAAGAATCAATTTTCAATTTGATTTCTTAGACAAATTTTGAGATACAGTTTTGTAAACAGTAAAGTAATATGAAAGTGCAAGTTTCAAGTCGCTAAAAATTACCGTTGATTTTTGAGAATTTTTTTCGCTGAGGGCGTTACGTACCTTCTTTCATATAAAAAAAATGTTTTCATGTATTATAAGGAATATATACAAATACTCAAACTTTTCTAAGAAATCGAATTGAGAAACTGAAAATTTCGTAAAAAATTGCTTGGTATTTCTTGCATTTTCCCGAGTTCTGTATGAAATTAAGAAAAAAAAAATATTGTAGTTTTTGCAGTTGAATGAACTATATTTTCATAAAACGATTAAGAAAAATTTGGTATGGAAAAGACAAATAATAAAATCGTAAAAGTCAGGGTACGCATATTTTTGACGCTGACTGTAGATACATATATCCGGCCAAGAACTTCTACTGTTATGCTACAACGACAACAGCGATTTCTTCGAACAAAAAATAAGCCGGCCATGTAGGGGATTGAGAGCTGTTTGGGAACAATCCATGGAATTATTTTATTCCAAACAGAATTTTCGACAAAATTATTTATTGATAGATCTAAGAATTGTCTTTTATTCAAGACTCAATGGCTTGGTTTACACATTCGACACCCTTTGGTAGGCCATTCTGTTACCGTTTTGCTCTTAGCATTAACTATGTATATTCTAAAAAAAAAAGATCGGTGCGAGTTGAGAAAGTGGCATCATGGGCTCCTTCGATCTCTGAGTGATGGTTAATTTTGTATCAAAATTGTTTTCCATCGTTTACCAACCATCCTCGAATTTTTGCGAATTAGCGAAATTCAGTCAAATAAGATTTTAATTACACTCAATTATCGCTTTCCACACAATTACACGGCTCATTTCTCCACTTTGTTTCATCCTTTGTACATATGTATGAATTAAAAATTTAATTTTTTTTTACTTTTCAGCATTTCTCATCAGCATCCAACAGCGCTTTTGAACGCTTTGTGATTATTCGTATACAAAAAATTGCAAAATGTCTGCAGCAGTCGCATCAGCACCAGCGACAACGACGACAAAAACTGTAAACAATGCAACATCGTCAGCTACCAACAACAACAACCGCAATAATAATTTAACTAAAACAACAGCAAAATCTTCAACTACTAGCGGCGATACGACGAGTAAAGCAGCAAATAAAATCAACAATAATAACAATCAGAAAACTGGCTACAGCAGCAGCGGTGGAGGCGGTGGCAACGACACCAACGACAGCAAACAGCAACGCCTCAAATACATTGCGAATGTAGTGCGCGCTCTGGTGACATCACGCAAACCACCGTGCAAATTGCGCGAGGTACTACGCGAGTATCCAGACATCGAAGGTGAACCATTGAATTTTCGCAAACTTGGCTATCCCACGGCCAAGGATTTGTTGAAGGCGACTGGCGAGTTTAGTTTTACGCAATATGGTGAAGAGGTGAGTGGGGGGTTTGGGATTTGAATTTCTGCGAGTTTGCGGAAAATCATAGGCTTTAATTTTAAGATTTTAGGAAATTTCGGTTTCATAATTTTTTTCTAACAAAGTATGGACCAATACTCTAATTTTTAGTCTGGCATGGTAGGCATGTAGGTATACCTAGTTCAATTTTTAAAAGTATCTTAAAACTAAAGAATATACATATAGGGTGTGTTCAGAAATGCATCAAACCAAAGCATCAGTCATTTTTATTTCTAAACTATAATTGATGGAAATGGCTTATTTATGCAACTAAGTTCCAATTCGATATTTATGTACCTAACCGTGGTTGCACATATGTATATGTAGGATATTTCCATCAACTATAGTTTAGAAAAAAAATAGACTGATGCTTTGGCTTGATGCATTTCTGAACGCACCAATAGCATTTACATTTATTTAGTTGATTCCGATGGCGATTGTGAGCCTACTAACTGGTAAGCATGAAACTAGGCAATAAATCTATTCAATTTCCATTTGGAGCCTCCTTAAACGTTTTTATTTTTTTGTTTTTCGTTATGTTGTGATCAGTTGTTCTCTTAGGTAAGCACCCTGTATCCCACACTTGTGTGTTCTCAATCAAATTCTAGAAATTTAGGTCTCATTTGTCTCTTAAAATATTCCACCAATGCTTGGCCGCATTTTGTCACACGCTTTTATTGCAGTGCATTCCCAACAAGCAGCCAATTTGTCTGTGCCGTTCGCTTAGAAAGTTTTCTAAAAATATACACACACACAGTTCTAGTGCAACGAACTTTGGCCTCTCGGAAGTTGTTTAATTTTGCTAACGTTTCAATAAAGTAAAAGCTGGTTGACCTTTTGATTACTTAAAAATTTTAAATCAAAATAAAACAGCTGGCAGTGAATACTATTTAAGGCCAATTACAACATAACAAATACATATAATCAAGCATGTAAGTTCAAAAGCATTTTAAAAATATTTATCGCATTATATCAGCGTGAAAAAAGAGCTTTCTGTTTCCTTCTTATTTTGTACACCAATGCATTTGCCATCACTTTCGATGTTCACTTTGTTATTCTCTGAGAAACATTCTGGTTACTCTAGGTTCAGGCAGAGAAACTTTTGTCGCGGCAACTCGTTAGTTGAGGGAGAGGGAGTGTCGAGGAAGGGGGAAGGGCACGGAGTTGCTCGCGCTCGGACAACACGTTTTGTGCTCTCGTTCGTCTGAGTAATTCTAGTTGGTCGTTCACAGCTGACAACAGCAATTGTGTACAAAAGAATTGCTATGTGTGAACGCGAAGGGCAACACCAAAAGAGAAATTGCCGAAAATGAGCAACGAAAGTTTCTCTGTGTGAACCCAGTCTTACCCTATTAAAATAGATTTTCCTCTCCATTGCATTCACCCTTTTTGCCAGTGCTGCCATTTCAGCTGTTTTCCGGCTAGATTTAGCCAGTTGCGATAGCAAACAGTCGGAGAAATTTCGGTTTAGCCGGCAGCCGATTTGTTAGCCGTTTTGGAAAAAAATTAGCCGTTTTTAGCCAATTTTGCTATTTGCCTTATTTTCTTATTGTTTAAACAAACTTTTTTTTGCCGAGAACTTATTTAAATTCCAAAAAATGGGAGGTCAACTTGAGTTAAAAGAACCATCACTGAAATGCGTCAAAATGAAAATAAAAAAGCACACATTTCTATGTAAAGCAAAACTTTCTGGGAAGACAATATTCGTAGAAAATCCAGCGAGAATTATCACTCGAAATATCAGATAGTAAGAAAAAATGCTCCGAAATTCTCTCTCAAGTAGTGAAATTTGCAAAATTGCAGGAATTTGCAAGTTTCCCGGCCAGCTAGTGTCCACGGTTACATTTCTATCATAAGAAATTTTTATAGAATTTTTAAAATTCTTTCAGAGGGGCAAAAAACAGGTTCTACATGTATGTATATTTTGTGTTAGTCCGACTTTCTTCAACATACGTTTCAATTTCTTTGTCGTAGTAACTGTCTGGTTACGAATCCATTTTTTTCAGCCGAGTACCTTTCAAATCATTGAAATTAACTAAATTAATTAAATAAAGAAGTATTTACTTACATTTTTCATTTTAAAATCGGTCAAGTTTGAAAATTTTTAAATTTTGCGAACTTGTTTATTCAAATTATCGTCGACAAAAAATCCAACCGTGTGCCACAGTCATATGTTTTTCCTAATTGCAAATTCTTGCTGGCATAATTTTTTCTAGCTTGAATTTGCAACTTCTCTCCAAGAACTAGTCTTTATACTTGTGAGTTATTTAAATAAAACATGTGAAATTTAGCTCAAACAGTTTAGCCGTTTTTAGCCGTTTTTTTTGCCAATTTAGCCGGTTCGTCCCAACAGTTCTGGCAACACTGCTTTTAGTTCATATTCTAGTTGAAGTTCTCATTCTCTCTAATCTCCCGCAGACATACATAAATGCCGCACCTAGCTCAAAATCGGCACACATATCGTCTATGGTGAGACAGCAGAAGGCGAGCAAATCGACACGGATCAAGGTGGCACCACAAGTGAGACAACCGAAACGCTCCGATCAGAGTTGGAACAAGAGCAGCTACTCATCAAACGTCTTCCAGCGTTTGCGGACGACGGGTCAACAACAGCAGCAACGTTGGCGCAGTAATGCGACAGTAGCGGCGGCGGTAGGAACAGGGGTTGGTGATCGCAATAACAACAATAGTCAGCAGCAAAACAATAATAGCCGTAATAACATAGGGGCCGTCGGCTTACAAACGCAACAGAAAGAGAAAGAGAAGGAGAAAACGCAACTGCAAAAGCAAACACAGCCACAGACACAACAAAAGGCGCAGCAGCAGCCGCAACAACAACAACAACTGCAACCACAGAAAACCCAGCAACAGCAGAAGCAACCAGCTCAGCAGCAGCAGACGCCCTTGCAGCGTCAAAAGTCGGTCGGATCGACAAATAAACCGGCTGTCGGTAGCGAAAAGAAGGATCTACGCGAAATGTTGAACGCAAAGGCGGCGCAACAACAATCAAATGGCGGTGGCGCAGCCAACAATGGCAATAAAATGCCCGCCGGTCAGCCAGATTTGCGTGAACGCCTGAACGCGAAAAGGCAGCCGCAGCAACAACAGTCACTCCCAACGCAACAACAAAAGCAGCAGCAGCAACAGCAGTCATCATCACCGCGCCCCATTTTGGGGCAAAATAACAATTCGGCAATAGCGATTGCTTCCACATTGATATTGGCGCAGCGCGAACAAAAAATACAGGAGCAACATCAGCAACAGCGCGCACAGTTGTTAGCGGCACAGCAATTACGTCAACAGCAGCAACAACAAAAGCAACAGCTGATACAACAGAACTTGTTGAAGCAACAAGAACTGCAAATGCAAGCAAAACAAAAGCTGCAGGCTCAACAACAACTGGAAGTGCAACAACAAATGCAAGCGCAACAACAGCTGGAAGCGCAGCAGCAACTTCAGGCGCAGCAGCAGCAAATGCAGGCGCAACAGCGGCAAATGCAGGCGCAAAAACAGCAGCTGCCGGCCCGACAAGTAATGAGCGGAGGTGGCATTGCACAGTCAGGCGTTGGCATTGGCTCCGTGCAAGATCGCTTGCGTATTCGTATTAATAATAATCACAATGGAAATGATTTCGCTGCGTCATCGTCGACTGGCAGCAACACGCCGGAAACGTCTCCAGCGCTATCATCGGCTGGCTCTGACAAACTGACGACGCCAAGTCCATTTGTTGGTTCGGCGGCAATGCAGCAGCTGCAGCAACAACAACAACCACTATTCCATAAGCAGCGCTACATAGTGAAACAGCAGCAGCTGCAGCAACAACAACAGCAACAGCAGTTTGGCGAGGCCAATGGCCAGGTGAGTTTCAGAAATATGAATATATTTTATAATTATTTTACACTCCTCCTATACCCGCTCTCTCTACTTTATTCATTTTAGAACGTCATACCACCACGCGTTTTCCAATTCAACCCCAAACTCGATCCTATCACATCGCTGACACAGTATTGTGTGGTACGCCGTTATGCGCCTCCTGCTTTTAGCGCAATACGTTCGAAATTCTCACGCCTCTATCAGTGTCGTGTCAATGTGAATGGCACCATCTTCTCAACATACCCCAATGAATATTTGCATGAACATCTGGCACAAATTTCATGTGCACAAAAAGCTATTGAGCTATTGAAATTGCAAGAGGCAAGACGTCCATTGCCGTTGTTTTCGGAGGGTGATGCCGATCTTATTGATAAACTCTACAATGAGTTGCACCTACATCCACATGGCATATTTGCTAAAAATATACCCGAAATGTTCGAGGAAGCGTACCAACAGGCATTGCCAGAACATTGGTGGACATTAGTGCAAACGTCGCCCAGATTCACTACAGAATCGGCAACCAACAATGCTGTGATTGTGTTTGCTAACGAGGAGGCAGACAAAGACAAAGGTAAGCTGATATTGTAAATGAAAATGGATTGATAAAGTGATATCAAAGTGTTGTAAAATTGTAGACGTAGGTAAGGTTTGTATTAGCAAGAATTTTAATATTGCAATCAAAGCTGTTTGGCTGCTAATGACTCTCTTTTTCCTAAATTTGAGGCAATCTTTATAATCGTTAGACGGCATTTCTTGTTCATAACCTCAAAGCGACAAGACATGATCGATAGAATAAACTCGAACTCTCATTTGACATCGAAAAAAAAAAACATAAATTATAGATAAAATATGAACCTAAATTTTAAATCAAATGTGTATCGTAAAATTGATAACCGTTACAGTCGGAGTTTTCAATTGTTTATATGGAGTATAAATTCTTACTACTGTTAAGTGGCTCATTTTTCTAATCCTTGTCTTGACTTTGTATAATGCCTACATACAAACAAGACAAGGATTATAGACCTGAGCCACTTAACAGTAGAAGGGTTGCTGTGTAATGACACAACCAGAACTCAAAAAATTAAATTCCTTGAGAGTGTTAAGTGGCTCACTCTCTTGTCTTATCCATGTAGTGGGTAGGATTATTCATGGATTAGGCAAGGACTAGAGACATGCGCCACTTAACAGCAGTAATAGTTTTTGTTTTTTTATTTTTATTTTTAAATTGTGTCGTTATTGAAGAGTTCGATATGTACATATATTAGATCAATCGTAAGTAAAGTTATCAAGGCGAATTTATATAAGGTGGTGTTACTAGCTCAGCTGATTTTGTGTATGTGTTTCGCCGTACGGCTTCTGATATCAAATTGAAAAATTTTGTTTGAATTTCTACACACACTCTTACAGATTTTGACAGGTTATGCCGCCAAAGAAAAACAAAATACATGTAAATTTTTGTTTTTGTACTCCTGCTATCACCTTATATTAATTCGCCTTGAAAGTTATCAATCAACTTGGATAACATCATAGCATCACATCGCAATGTCAGCAGGTACGAAATAACTTGAGTGGTTCAACATGATATCCAGTTGAGCGTTCGATCATCGGTTGCATAGCGTCCGTATTCCAATTAGCCATATGAATTTCGTCCAATACGAGACCGTTGACCTTTGTCTGGTTTGAAGTAAAATTAACAAAATTGCTTCGGTTAATTCCAATTGGTAATTGTTTTCCCTTCAGTAACCGATTACTGTAAAACCAGTTGGCGATTTAAACCGCAGTAGTCATTGAGCTAAATGTCAATCTTATCCGATAAAATTCGCTCGAATTAAAAAACAAAAATCGCACGCACATTTTATTGCTGCTAAATTTTTTAAAATTTTGCTATCAAAATTAAAAAAACTTTTCCTACTCTTTCCCAACAGCTGGCGCTACCGGTGAAATTATACAAATGGATGGCATTGCTCTACCCTGGAAGCAAAAGTATTGGCAATTATACATCACATACTGCGCTTCGACGGTGGATGTGTGGGCGCGCTTATTCGGCAAGGAGTATAGTGAACGTTTCGATGCAGTTATGAGTGAAATCGATACGCACATGGCCACACAAAAGACACGTCCACTATCGCTCGCCTGCAAAAATATCTACCTGGTGTGCATCAACGAATGCTGGCATCGAGTGCGCGTCGAGGAGCTGGATAAACCGAATGCAACAGCGCGGTGTTTCTTCATCGACTATGGCGATAGCGATTGGGTGGCCGTCAGTGAGTTGTACATTTGTGAGGCACAATTTTTACGTTTGCCTGCGCAAGCAGTGCCCCTATCACTATTCGGTTTGGAGGATTTCGCTGGTAATCCGAATGCGCGACGCCATCTTGATACGATGTTGTCAAGCAAATCAGTGGTAGGTGAGATTTTGACCAAAGAGAGCGATTTTTACAATACAGAATCGAGCGCCTGTGGTAAAATCCAAGTTGTGTTGTACGACACCTCAACCGAGGAGGATGTGAATTTGAATCCCTTATTGCTGAGCCAGATTTGCGATGACACACCGCCTCCGGAGATTAAGCATAAGGGCGCTACGAATGTGCTGGTGTCGCATGTGAGCGAAGACGGTGATTTGTATTTGCAGATACTAAATAGTGACTTCAAATATGTGCAGGTATGTAAAGTAGGGGAAGGAAGGTCGTGTCATGTGTTGCTTTAACGATATTTGCAATTATTGAATGTTTTATATGATTTTAGAAATTAATTCAACAACTCATCGAGTCGAAGTTCAAACGCGAACAACATAAGATCAGTGCCAGCGATTTGAAGCGCTCTAATCTCTTCCTGATTTGTGATGATACAAATGGCAGCGAGACACAATGGTATCGTGGCGCACTAACCGACATGCCGAGCTATAGCGCTGAGGACGAGGAATTTGATATATTCTATGTGGATCATGGTATAACCCGACGAACGCACATTTCAAAAATATTCCGGTTGGAATCATTGAGCACAGCGTTGAGCAAATTCCCACGACAAGCGATACGTGCACGTCTACACAATATACCGCCCATAACAAAGAGCATTGTGGGACGAATGCGCGCTTTGCTGCCAGCCAATTGTGCTACGTTTGTGAGTAGTCTTTGGGGAGGGGCATGCTTAGTTATGGACCAACTAACTTTGTAACGTTTTAGGTAAAAATGAACAAACCCGGCAAATTGCCGTATGTAACAGTCTATCGTCGCCATGAGAGTTCGGATATGTTGTGCAATATAAACGAGGATATACGCATGGAAGCCGAATTAGAGTGGTCAATATTTAAAATTACGTATCTTTATAATATATAATGTTCATATGTTGTTTTTTTCTTGTAGTTCTACGGCTTCTAATGGTGAAGATGATGATGTACCCGTTAATGGCAAACACTATGGACTCGCTAAGAATGCTAGTGGCGGTAGCCTGAACTCACCTACAACTCAACAAACATTTGTCGAAATGACACGCGGTCTGACGATCACTACTTCAGTGCCAAATTCACCACAAAAGGTAGCTGAGCTGCCAAAATTACAAAACTACGATGCGATACCACGTGATCCAAACGATTTTCTGGAAGTGCGTGTCACAATGTCGGCGAATCCTTCAAATTTTACGGTGAGTTGGGAGGTATTTTTCATTATCATCTGTTTCAATCGGTGTGGATGTTGGAGTAATTATTCAAGATATGAGCGATTCTTATAAAGATTTTTTTCATTGCTGGTGTTGTAGAAGCATAAGTCTCTGTAACATATTTTGGAGAACGCTGCTACAAAGACGTTTCTTGTCGAAAAAATATCTGCCTCATTCTGGGAGCGTAGATTAGGGATGTCCAAAAAAGATCGGTGTTTCTAAAAACCGTTTATTTTTTTTATTAAGTTAATCATCTTTTTCAGTCTTTTTTATAATTTAGGTGTAAATCGGTATGTTCCTTTTAAACCGAAAACCGAAAATTCGGTTTTTACATTCATCAGCAGTGTAAGGTAATTTTCGAGATAGAATTAATTTTATGGCGTACCAAAGCTTCAAAATGAGTACTCAATGTTAACCTTAAGGCCAGTATGCAGCTCTCAAGAAACGTAAAAAAATTCAAATTTATTTACGGCAGTTCTTAAAAAATATGCTACTCTTTATACTACAGTTTTCTAAAGTTTTTTGTAAGAAATATATGCCCGTTACATTATTTATTGAGGAAAGAGTGGGGCAACAGGCTGTGAAGTATCGGATGTCAAAATTCCTTGGACACATACACGAAATAATGGCGAATCTTTTCTTGACCGTTTTCTTGAGAGCGGCATACTGGCCTTTATCTGGAAGGTAAGCGAAACCGATTGTGAGTATCGTCTTTGACTGTTAAAACATAATTATTTAAATTATGGTGCCTATATACAAATCAAAAGAGTTTATGTTTCTGAATTAAAGTTTGCTTTTGCATAAATATGTCAAATTCTTTATTATTTTTCTTATTTTTGGAAATGAGGTTTTTAAACAAAATAAGGTACAAATAAATATGTAATTAATTGGCTATGACAACAGTAAGTAAATTTAAATAGGAAAATGCTAAAAAAAAACTTGCTTTCCGGCGATTAATCGAAAACCGTTCCCACCCACCCAACCGTTCCCGTCTTGGGATTCATATGTTTTTTAATACATATGTATAGTACATGAGCTAATCGCATTTAATCTATTTTTAGATTCAACCCTACAAAGACTATCCACGCCTTCGTGATCTGATGAAGGAGTTGCAAGAGTACTGTGAAAATAATGATGAATTCATACCGGCTGATATGGTGGAAATAGGACAGGCTTATGCGGCCAAGAATCCGGATGGTTTCTATCATCGGTGAGTTCCACTAAACATATTACATGCACTTTTCATTTAATGTTTTAATGATTTTGGTAGTTTTTTATTTTGGTCAATATTGGAACTGTGTTTCTGGATTTGAAAATTTTGAAAAGCTCCTTCAGAATGGTCTTCAATTGTGCTTTTCCGCAATATTAGAAAACTTATAAATCTAAATTTTTACCTAAAATAATCCTCTCTTATATTTTATATCGACAGCGTTGTTGTGGTGAACACCTACAATGGTGATATGATACACGTTTGTTTCTGTGATTTCGGTGATATAGCTATTTTACGTAGCGATCAATTGAAAATATTGCCAGCCAAATATCGTCAATTGCGAAAAATGTCGATTCAAGCTAAATTGCATGGTAAGTAGATTTGGAACATTTTTAAAATCACCGCAAAATGTACTCAATTACTTATTTTTTTAAATCATAGGCATCACCGCCACGCATGGCGACTGGAGTCTGGAAGATTGTCTACGCTTCCGTCAGTTAACAGTCGGTCAAAAATTTGTAGCGTCTATAAAACGTATTACATATGATAAGCTAGGTTCACCTGACACACCAATACTCGAGCTGGAATTGATTGATGTGACTACAGATGAAGATGTCTATATACATGAGATATTATTGAAGGAGCAACGTGCGATTAAAAATGGTGAAGTCAAAAGTAACTAAAGCGGGACTGTTGCTATTGGACAACACACACTCAGACTAAAAGAAGAAGAGCGAAAAAAGCTATTTCTTAACTGTATACTAGATTTTAATGTAGGTTAGCGAAGGCATTTTTTGTTTATTATTTGCCTTTTGAAGGCCTTTTGATTTCGTGTGGATCTATTTTTTTCTACTGATTTTAAAGAAATTTTTATTTCAGAATGGAAAAAGAGGATAAGTACGTTGAACGTTAAAATATTTATGCGGATGAAGCGTTGTTCTTTTGAAAAAATGCGTTTTTTCACAATGGCGTTTTCATTTCTACCAAAAAAAAAAATGTTTCCTTCCAACGTGCTCTTCGCACAAATACTAAGGAGAAGCCAATGAAAAGAACATGTTTTGTAGAAAAGAAAACCACGTAAAGAAAAAGTATCGCTTCTTTCTGATTTGCGTATTCGGGAGAAAAGTTAACTTGCACACATTGCAATCATGCGTTCCTCGAACTATGGTTTTTGCTGACTTTAGTTTAAAAATTTCGCATAGCGCTTCTGCTTTTTAAATCATAATTATATTTTTGGTTAATCGTTATTTTTTGAAATTCGTTGAATTAATCTCATTACTCTAACAAGCATTACACTTAAATTGAAATAAAAATCTATACTTTAAATATTCGTTTGAGCGTGAAAGTCACATTCCGTACATTAATTCTCATACACAATACATTTACGCGTTTTGTTGACATTTTTTTTATTGAGCTTAGTCATCTTAGCTATTAACTCTTTGCAAGCGTTGAACTCTTCTAACGAAATTAACTATTTTTTAATTATAAAATTAAAATAAATTAATTACCAAACGAAATGAGACTTCGACAAATATGCGCGATTTTTGTAAGCATACGAAGATATTACGATTTATTATTTTTCTTTTTAAAATGTTTATAACGAAGTAATTTAGTATTTAAATTATTATTAATGTTATTTTATGTAATACACGCGTATTACTAAAGATATAAAAGTGAAATATGTAAAAAAAAACGAAAATTAAAGATAATTAAAGAATGAAAATTTAAATCTAGTGCGTAAATAAAATGGTTCGTTTAAAGAAGTGTAGTCGCTGAGACCAAATGATATTGTTATTTGCTAAAAAGGTCATTTTGGCAAATATTGTTAGCTACTAGCAACAAACTATTATTTTTGCTGCTATGAATTTGAAATAAATTATTTTTTTATTACTGACATCGGTAATTTGTGACAAGACGGATAAGGATAATCAGCAAGGCATTAAAAAATCACGTAATTAAAAGAGAAACGAAAGATTTAAGAGTAAAACGTAATAAATGTTTACCATTAAAATGAAACAAAAAAATCATGAAAAATTCCCGAAAATGTAATAAATATGAAAATATAAAATCTATCCCTGAAGACAAATATCCATATATTAATTCTACCATATTAAATAGACAGTTTATTTGTGTTTTATGAGCATAGAAGTTGAACAAATGCGGTAAATTGAACTAAAATTCAACATAACCAAAAAAAACAAAAAAACATTTATCCTGGTATTTTCACCTGCGCAGCGAATAAATTTGGCGAAGCGCACGGTTTGCTGAACACACCTAAAATTTGCATAAAGATCGTTCGCCACGCAAAGCAATTTGTAAAATCAAAAGAACTTTGTACAAGCGAACACTCTTAATATAAATTTAAGGTGTGTTCGCCAATCTGTTCTCTCGCAAGTGCCAATACCAGCTTTATATATTAAATAACCAGACAAATTGTTAAATGTAATTAAAAATAAATTTAAAGAGAGAAATAAATCATTTGAAAGTTAAAATAACTTCCAAATTCATACAAATCACAGACGGCTTTTCACAGAACTAATTACTTAGTTTTGTGGGCTAAAACTAAAATGGCATCAGCAAAACACTGCGCTTTAGTGCTAAGGGCCAGTTTTTCAGTGGCAGTTTTAACTTAGATCTGGAACTGAGAACTGAAAAACTGGCCCTAAGAAACAACTTTTCAGCGAAAAAGTTTTCCCAATATAAAGACAATTTATACTTCTTTAACACAATGTTCTTGCAGCAATTTTAATAACTAAGCATTATAATTTACAAAAGCAATGATTGGTTTTATAACCCTCTTTTAAAGAGATTACTAAGCTTTTGCAAAATGTATACCAGTTACAGCTATTTTACAACTACTATAAATGATATTTTCTTCGTAAAACCTTTTGTGGCATTTTGTTCGACTTTTTTTGCTCAATTCAGACGCAATTTTTCAATATGCAAATAACCCAACATACTTACCTAGTGTGTAAGCCTCAAAATTAATATATGTACATACATACATACACAGATATGTCCACAGATATACATACATTCTGCATATGCATATGTAGCATATTCTTCATATGCATATGTAGCTACATATAAAGTATCTACAGGGGTTACCCACGATCCGGTGCATACTGTCTAGCATGGTGCATGTTTGGACACATGAAACAACAACAAAATTTTCCAATCATGCAATCTATGCAATATGCTAGACAGTATGCACCACATCGTGAATACCCCTTACCTACTTCCAAACACCGGCATACATACATATTCTATATGCAATAAAATGAAGATCAATGTGCAAAACGCAAATTCTATGCTAGTATGTTCTTTGGCTCTTTTGATTTTTTTTTTAATCCTTTTCGTTCCCACGCCAAAGGTTTAAAGGACTATGATTTGAGGACATGTGTTTCATGCGCCAGGACGCTTATTGGGGAATGCTGTCGCTATAATGCGCTGGTTAATGTTCTCGAGAGAGCAAAGGCACTCAGGTAAATCGATGGGGGGCAAGGAAAGAAACATCTAGCGCTTTGCTATCTCTACTGCAGCTGCCATGTAAAGAAGAAATTCAAATTCACTATTTCTCATGACAGAAATATGCTTGGAGGTTTGCCATTGCCTGTCGAGGGGCGACCGCTGTTAAGAAAAAACCTTTTTTCTAAATTTTTTGCGATGTTGCTTGAACCCAGACGTTGCGGAGTGGAAGGGCGCACTGCTTACCACTACACCACCTTCAATGTTGATCAATTATGCATCAATAATTTTGTTAAATGAAAATCCTTTTTTATTTGAAATTTTTCATTTTCCCTTTTAATAATTCTTGAT